CATAGGATTGGAAAACATCAAATAATATTGTCCACATCAAATAATATTAATGGAAGGTGAGATGGCTTAGAGTTAACATTCCTGACCCCAATTGCTTCATCTATGAAACCTCAGGACCACCACTGCTTAATACAAAGGTAGGGACCTGTGCTGGCATGCAGAGGGTTTCATTCTAAAACACACTTCAACAGAAAAAGAAAACATCTTAACATCTTTGAAATCAGAATATGTCTTACAATCAATGACATAATTACAGTTGGCAGCCCCTGTTTTTATATTAATGAGTACATAAAATAATGGTATATCCTACAAAAATAATGGTTTTTAAGATTAGATGAAATAAGATCTACTTTTAGCTCTGGGGTTCTCCGCCTGTTCATTACCAGCAGGAAGGAAGTGGCAGCAGGTCGGGGGGGCACAGGGTTTGGTATTAGCTCTTAAGAATCCTCTCAATTCCCAGCCTGTGATGTGCAGGATCCTGCAGCTCCTCTCTCTGCCACACTCTCAGATACCGGGGACACTTGGTATGTCCTTTGAAAAAAAACAAAAAAGCCCTGGCCAGTTTGGCTCAGCGGTTAGAGCATCGGCCTACGGTCCGGAGAGACCCGGGTTCGGTTCCTGCTAAGGGCACGTACTTCGGTTGCAGTTTGTCCCCGGCCCTGGTTGGTCGTGCGGGTGGCAGCCACTCGATGTGTCCCTTTCACGTCGATGTTTCTCTCTCTCTCCCTTCCTCTCTCTCCCTCCCACTCTATCTGTACAAAAAATGGAAAAATGTCCTCTGGTGAGGATAAAAAAAAAGAAAAAAAAAGAAAAAAAAAAAAAAAAGAGTTTGTTATAGATTTGAGAGAGAGGAAGGGAGAGGGAGAGAGAGAAACATCATCAATCAGCTGCCTCCTGCACGCCCTCTACTGGGGATCCAGCCTGCAATCTGGGCCTGTGCCCTGACTGGGAATCCAACTGGCAAATTCTAGGTGTGTAGGAGGACGTTCAATCCACTGAGCCACACGGGCTGGGCTTAGTATGTCTACTTAGTCCTGTTTTTCCAGCTTACCAGTATGTTTCTGATGACCGATTCCTGCCCACCCCACACATCAAGGACTTGCCAGGGATTATGCTTCCCCTACATTGTCTTCTCAGTGTGCATGTGTGTGTGTGTGTGTGTGTGTGTGTGTGTGTGTGTTTGGAGGAGGTTGGAAAATTGGTGTTTACCCATAAAATCAACACAGAGATTATTCTAGAGAGAAAGCCCAGGAAGAAAACCAACATCTAGCTTGATGACATAAAGGCTGAGCTTTCTTGGCTATAGACTCCAGGAGCAATGCATCTATATCACTTGCTGATTTAAACTAATAAAAATAATAATAGGTTTGGGCCATCTGCCAACTCAAAGAGGAACGATGAACATAAGTGGGTTACATATGGACTAATGGAGCTGTTGTCTTTGGCTTCATAGCATGTTCCTCCCATCCCGTGCCTCTTTTTCTGATGAGTCCAAGGCCCTTGGCCACAGGAGTGGCCTGATGCAGCCTGGTATGTCGAAGTCCTTCTATGGGGCCTGTATGATGACTTTGGAAGAAAGATATTCCCTTTTTCTTGGGGTGGTTCATTTGAGACTGTCCATGGCCAGCTCTCCTGCCTTGTGGAGAGTTTGCAGAACAAATCCTTAGTGCAGACCAACATAGAGAGAGGTCAGGGAGAGCAGTCTAGGTCACTCCATCCTCTGAGGTACCACTGTTATCATTCCTGGAACATGAGCCAGTACATTCCTGTCCTGCTTCAACAAGCTTACGCTGGATGTCTGTTCTTTGTAATCAATACAATGCAAGGTAATTTAAACCTCTACTTTAAACTCTTTTTAACTCTTTTTAACTTAGCTGTTCTATTTGCAGCAAACAATTCAAGTTTCAGATTTGGGAGGATGAAATCCCCATATTCTGTGCTGCTGCCTGAAAGGAGATCCCTGGGCCTTCGATACTTTCTGACTTTGGTTGAGAAGTTGTGATGATAACTAAAGAGCCTGGTGTGAATTCTCCAGAGGGAGGGGAGCCACCTTGGGCTGGATCAGGGGTGCCCACAGACCATATATCCTCATCAGGTACCAGATGGGCCCTGCAACAGAGGTCTACACCACAAGGCCGGGGAGAGCCCGAGGCCTGCAGATTCTGAAGGTGTTACCATAGCTCAACTGGTTCCTCTGCCTTTTTAAGGCACATCCTAGAACAAGAGCTGAGTTCAAGGCACCAACGTAGCTTGGAAGATGTGCTTGGACTATTTGCTGTGGCAGGAAGGTATCTGAGTTTATCTAAAAACTATATGACATTTTTTCAGGAATTAAACAAGAGGTCTTAGGAACAGCCTTGCTTCATACTATTTAAGATAGGAATTTACTTGGTTTAATGGAAACGTCTATCCACTCTGATTCTGGAGGAGATACTGTGGTAAAATCTTTCAGGCATGTTGATCGTTCAGAGTTGGCATTAGCCCACAGACAATTCCCGTCCACCAAATTAAAGTCTAATGAGAGATTGATGCATGCGGAAGTCTTGAATCATTAGGAAAGTGTCTTGCTAAAGCTGGATATTGTAAGGTTGTTATGAAACTTACTTCAAAGGGTATGTAGGCAAACAGTTCTAGGATACCAAAACTTATTTAGCGAGTTGCTCAAAAACTAACTTCATCATGGATGTAAGTTCTCCATAGTGGTGTGTGAAATAATTTTAGAGAAACTCTCAAAAACTACCAAATGGAGAGTTTTACAAAAGGGGGGGGGCATTTTTTTTTTATCAGGTCAGTTATTTTATCATTGGTGTCAGTCTCTCAAGAAGTGAGACTCTCTCAGACACCTCTTTATTTTTCTTTAAAATGTAACCATATCCCAACACCTAGCGGAAGCACAGTCCATAGGCTTCCCTCATTCAAAACCAATTTAATTGCAAAAGGTGAACATACTATTTCTTCTGTCTGATTCTCAAAATCCTCAGCTCTGCAAACAAAAACAACTATCAGAAAAATTCTTCCAAGACATGGAAGTAGGGAACAGACTGACAAACCTTAGAGGGAAGGGAAGTGGGGGTGGGAAGAGATAAACCAAAGAACTTATGTGCGTAACTAATGGACACAGATGAGAGTGTGGCGAAGGCTGGGTGGGTGTCACTGGGGGAAAAAAGGAGAGACATCTGTAATGCTTTCAACGATAGAGATAAATTAAAAGAAGAATTCTTCCAGGGTGATCATTTCCTATGGTATATAAATGTCTAATCACTATGTTGTACACCTGAAACTAATATAATATTGTATGCCAGCTGCAATAGAAAAATAAAAAATTTAAAAATTCTTCCAGCTGATTTTTAAAAGGTATAGACATGGGGAGAGCAGACAGGCACGAGGGCATTTATACCTTTTATCTGAGGATTTCCTTCTGCATAAACTTGTATAATGGATCTGGAGTGAGACTTCCTTTGTTCAAATCCTGGCTCCCCTCTTGATTGACAGCTGGGTTATCTTGAGTAAGTCCCATAACCTCTCTGAACCCTAGTTTCTTCCTTTGTAAACGGTAAAAAGATACTCCAAGCTCCAGTAAAATTCAAAACACAGAGATGACACATGATAAACGCACAACTTTTATATTTACACTTGATGACCGGGGAGCTCCAGACGTACAATTCCTACCTGGTTAACTGACACATCCCACCCTTCCCACGGGCTTGCCCTTTCCCCAGCCTTGTTGTGAAGACCTTTTCTCTAGAAGATACTTTGTACCAGCCAGTAGGAATGGGTGCAGCCAGCCGGAGGCCAGCGCTGACACGGACGTCTCGGCTTCCCCTTTGAAAGAAGCCTTCCCATCTCGACCCCAGATTTGGCCCGAAGGCGGTGGCCCGACCTCGCTGGCCCCGAAGGCGAGGCTGTGCGTGCGCTGCGGAGGGTGGTGGCAGCCCGCAGCCCGCACCCCGCCCTCGGCCTCCGCCCCCGTCGCCGCCCCGGCGTGTCAGGTGCCGTGAGAAGCGCCGAGGGATATGACTAGAGCCGACTTTCCAGAAGCAACGCACGCAAGGCACAGCTCCGCACGCAAGGGGGAGGTGACAGCAAAGGAACTTTTCAACCCGATAATGTCTACAGCCGCGCGGCTATTTGCCTCCCTTTCTCTCCCCTCTCCTCCCTCCGGGAATCTTCAGAGTGCGCCCCCTCCCCTCTCCTGTCCCCACTATTTGCCCCAGCTTGTCTCGGGCCCAGCGTCAAGTACCCCGCCGGCGCGGCCCTGTGCCCTCCAGTGGGCGGCGCCACCTGGATGAGTTTCTGCGCGTGAAATCTCAGGGCCAGCTGCGCTCCGACAGTGCTGGCCTCTGTGTGCCAAGGACAGTCGGGGCCCCGGGGCAGGGGAACGGCGTCTTTCAGGGATTCTTGATATCGCTGCACGAGAACTTTGCGTGCACAAGGGCCCCATTTTAGGGCCATTTGTTTACGAGAACATTAAGATAAAATAGGGAGGCCGTCGGGCAAACCGCCACCACAAACCGCACTTCCCTCGTTTCCAAACTGACAGGTTTCCTTTCCTGGCTAGAGCTCCAAACTATCCCGAGCGATGTTCTCTCGGGGACCGAAGCTTAAGTCACTGAGAGGGAAGGAAGTTTCTGGGCGCGCTCCCACCGAGAGCTCAGCGTTATGGGCAGCTTCTGGCAGGAGCGCGCTTCCGGGGAAACCGTGTGGCCATAATTGGGGGTGACTGTGATTAAGAGTGGTTTTCGGGTACGCGAAAAGTTCAGACCGCCGCTCCTAGTAAAGTCACCAGCTACTTCGCCAAGGTGGTCGGGGCGCACCGGAGCTGCCTCTCGTAACCACCTGCGCGCGGCAACCCCAGTAGGAGTCCCAGCCTTGAGGACAGTTCCGTCGCGCCCCGCCCTCTGGAGCGCCCCTCCCCCTCCAGGTCCAGCCGCCTCCACCCTCATCACAGACCTTAAAAACGGGATGGCGCGTTTTGACTCTCTGGAGTGGCTGTGTGCAAACGGGCCACGCCTCCAGCTGTCAGAGCCGCTCGGGGGTCGTGAGAGCTGGGGATCGACTCCACTCATCCACCCTCAACCTAAACCTACACGCTGTTAGAAAACCCCGACTTTGCCGAGACTACACGTGCAGCGGGGCTCCGCAGAGGAGTCACCTTTCTCCGTCCCCATCCCCATCCAAGCGCCCCTAGCTCTGACAACGCCTTCAGACTCCAGAGTGAGTGCTAAGGCTCCCAGAACTGGCAGCAGGTGTCGGGGCGGACGTCCAACTTTCTGGAGACACTCGGGTTGACGTCTTGCCTTTCACAAAGGCCCCTGCCCCTTCTCGGAGCCAGCTCTCCCTCGCCGCTGGAAACCGTGCCTCTTCGCAGGTCAGTCTGTCCCGGGAGCCGCCATCCCGCAGCCTCTTCTGTTGGGTCCTCGCAGATGGGGGATGGATGGGGTGGGGCGCAGGGGCTGGGGTGATAGTCACTTAGAGGGAACTGAGCGTCACCGCCTCGATGCCCGCCGTGTTGTCCCCGAACTGCAGGAACCGTTACACGGCTGCGGGAGGACGGAGAGGCAGAGTCACAAAGAAACGGAAACATGCCCCCTCCCTATTCCTTTGGGGAGTAGGTTTGGGATGGGAAAGGACGTCTTCAGGTGCTTCTCCAGTGAGGCAGCACTGTCCTAACCTACCCACGACCTTCCTAGCCAACAGCGCACGGTAGCCGGAGGCCGGGGGGGTATGGGGTGCCCACTCCTTTCTCCACACACCTGAGTTTTACGCCTTTGCCCTTCTCTCTTCAGCATGGCCACCAGGCTCAGCCTCGACGATCTTCCGCTGCCCATCACGCTGTCTGCACAGCAGACCACGCTCCTGCTGCTCTTTTCGGTGCTGGCCGCGGTGCACGTAGGCCAGTGGCTGCTGAGGCAGCGGCGGCGGCAGCCAGGGTCGGTGCTCCCGGGACCCTTTGCGTGGCCGCTGATCGGAAACGCCGCGGCGATGGGCCCGGCGCCGCACCTCTCGTTCGCGCGCCTGGCGCGGCGCTACGGCGACGTCTTCCAGATCCGCCTGGGCAGCTGCCCGGTGGTGGTGCTGAACGGCGAGCGCGCCATCCGCCAGGCCCTGGTGCACCAGGGCGCCGCCTTCGCGGACCGGCCGCCCTTCGCCTCTTTCCGCGTGGTGTCGAACGGCCGCAGCCTGGCTTTCGGCCAGTACTCCGAGCGCTGGAAGGCTCAGCGGCGCGCGGCGCACAGCACCATGCGCGCTTTCACCTCGCGCCAGCCGCGCAGCCGCCGCGTCTTCGAGGGCCACGTGCTGGACGAGGCGCGCGAGCTGGTGGAGCTGCTGGTGCGCGGCAGCGCCGGCGGCGCCTTCCTCGACCCGCGGCCGCTGACCGTGGTGGCGGTGGCCAATGTCATGAGCGCCGTGTGCTTCGGCTGCCGCTACAGCCACGAGGACGCCGAGTTCCGCGAGCTGCTCAGCCACAACGAGGAGTTCGGGCGCACGGTGGGCGCGGGCAGCCTGGTGGACATGCTGCCCTGGCTGCAGCGATTCCCTAACCCGGTCCGCACCGCCTTCCGCGAATTCGAGCTGCTGAACCGCAACTTCAGCAACTTCGTCCTTGACAAGTTCCTGAGGCACCGCGAAAGCTTTCGCCCCGGGGCCGACCCTCGCGACATGATGGACGCCTGCATCCTCTCCGTGGAAAAAGAGGCGGCCCAGGGCCCTGGCGACAGCGGCGCGGGGTTGAACTTAGATGACGTGCCGTCTACTGTCACCGACATATTCGGCGCCAGCCAAGACACTCTCTCCACGGCGCTGCAGTGGCTGCTCATCTTTTTCACCAGGTAAAGCCTCCGGGAGGCGTGGGTCGGGCCTTCCAATCCGCCTATAAAAGGTGGAGAGGGACTAGAATAGGCTGAGGTGTCGATCAGCGCGCAGGGAGGATCTGAGGTTTCATTCCAGGACCCCACCTTTCAAATCTGATATCGGATTCCCAAACCGCAATTCAGGAAGGCACGGTGAGGGCAGAGGCACGTGCGCGAGCACACCCCACCCAGCGGGACCGGGACCTCTCTCCATCTTTGCTCTTGTCTCTGCCTCTCCGAGTAGGGACAAATTTGTGAGACCCCCTCCCCCACCCAGCGGGACCGGGACCTCTCTCCATCTTTGCTCTTGTCTCTGCCTCTCCGGGTAGGGACAAATTTGTGAGACCCCCTCCCCCGCGAAAAACCAGATTTTTAAAGTGCCCGCAGGTCAGTCCAGATCTCTTCTTCCCTGGCACAGGAGAAGCATAATTGGAACGGTTCAGAAAGAAAGGGTAACGCAGTAAGTATATTAAATAAACACAGCAGCCTCAACGACTCTGCCAGTCATCTGCCCAGACCCGAGGCCTTCCCGCCCCGGGCGCTAAAAGCCAGCGGCCTATCCGGGCTTTGTTCTCGGGCATAGGAAGCACTCGGAGGCCGGCCTGAAGGCCCTTAGACTTGGCCCCAGGGTTGGTTAACCCGCGTAGAAGTTTTAAGAAGGAGGCTGGGAACCACAGGGTTGTGCTGGATTTTGTAAAACTGACACGCTAGCTGTAAGAGAAGTGTTTTATGGGTAAAGATCCGGAATAGCAGTCACTTTTACCCAGCGCAGTACAGCATCTAGAAGGTCAAACAGAGGCTCCTTCTGACCTCTGTGGCCCCTAGACCCGGCTCAGTTGGTTAGCTGGTCCCCAGAGCCCACCTTGATTAAGGTAGCGAACTTTTACGAAGCTCTGTGAACGCAGGAATCAAACAAGTTCCCGGTATCGCTTGTTGCCAGATTTAGCAAATTAAAAATAAATTTTACATAGGACACACTTATACTAAAAGATTAGCCATTGTTCATCTGAACTTCAGATTTAACTGGGTGGCCTGTATTTTGTCAAGCAACCCTAACCCCGGGGCAAATGTCTGGTTTAAGGCAAATCTTAATTGCCTGGAGAGACCAGAAATCCTGGTTGTGACATTTCTTGGTGCACCGGTTAGCGGTGGGAATGCTGTTTGCTGGCTCCTCAGATATTGAAAGGCAGCGACAGCTTCTTATTAGAACTCACTGCAACATTGCAACCCTTAGATACTGTGTGGCTACTTTCAAAAGTTGAATTTTTTGTATATTCACAATCGCTTCTCAGTTTTATGATCATAGAAACGTAGTGGGGGAAGGAGGGTAGGTCAGATAGAAGACATCCCAAAATGGGATCAATACATTCTTAGCATTCCCAGGTAAACGTGTTATCTTTTGAAACAGGCTTCCTTTTTTATTAGAAATAGATTGGGTGGAGAAAAATAAAACAATTTTGGGGTTACATTCAATTCAATATAGCTGATGAGTATGTTTTTCTTCTTCTTGGTGAAAAGACAATGTGACGGATTGGCACATTACACTATCCATTTCTGTATATAAGTTTTATCAAAATAAATAAAATAGATCTATGTATTGTCTATGGCTGCTTTCACACTACAACACAAGGCAGAGTTGAATAATTGGGATAGAGAGGGTTTGGCTCTTTATGGAAAAGCTTGTTAACAAAGCAATTTTTCAAATCACCCCGATTTCATCACATACATGCTTATATTTTTTTTCAGGATTGCAATAATTAATTACATTTTTTTTACTTCTGACATTTCCATTTATTGTATTGAATATTCCCCACTCTTTTAAACTTTATTTTAGTAATTTTTAAAAATGTTATGTCACTTTATTGATAGATTGCTAACATGTCCACGTTAGTAATTTTTGATGGTTACATAATGTTTTGACATAATAAGATAATCATTATATATAACCATTGCTTGAGCTTTAATGTTGTTGACTACAGTTTTACAATTTCAGCCATTGTTGTGATTACATAGTTTTGTTCCTGTCAGTTCCTGAAAATACAATAGCTAGGCTCTTATTACTGGGTTTACAAAGAGTAGGGAGAGGTCACCCTTTTGGATTTTGCTTTGTAGTAAGATTTTGTTTCCAAAAGGATTGTGCTAGTTTATATCACCAACAGTTTCATGAACATTGGGTATTTGCTTTCACATTTTAAAAATATGTTGCTTTACCTATCAGCATACCAATGATCTTTGTACAAATGAGAGCAGCAGGGAGGGGAGGGGCAGAAAGGATCAGCTTCCAGGGCTGCATTGTAACGTTAGAGAGCCCTGGGTGCTTGCGTCTGTGTAGACGCCTTACTCCATGAAAAACGAAGTTATGTTTTATGACATTGGTAGAAAGATAAATATATTAAAATTGTATGTTAAAACATTTTCTTTGACCCAAAAGTTCATTTTTCCCCCCTTCTGATTTGTTAAAAAAAGGAAAGGAAAACATTTTCATGGGCCTCTGAAAAGTATCGTGGGTCCTAAGCATTGTGCTTGCTTTGTCTAATGGAGAAGTTGGCCTTGTCCTTGATCATACATACTTTTTCAGGCTGAGAAAACTTAGACATTTTTTGACTTACGATGGGAAAGAGAGCATTAGTCATGTGAGGTTTATTAGAAGAAATCTAACTACGAATTTACTTATCTTGTAGTTTAGTGAGAAGTTAGGAAACTGTTTGATTATTGTGGGGGGGGGGGCGGTGGCTCGGAAAAGTTAATCCAGTCACTGATTCAAATAAAGTGGGAATAAAATAAATTGCAGTGTGCATTCTACATGAAAGAAGAATGGAATTTCTTCATGTATTTTCTCCCTCTGCACTAAAATCTGAACAGGTACCCTGAAGTGCAGGCTCGGGTGCAGGCAGAATTGGATCAAGTGGTGGGTAGAGACCGTCTCCCCTGCCTGGATGACCAGCCCAAGCTGCCCTACGTCATGGCCTTCCTTTATGAAGCCATGCGCTTCTCCAGCTTTGTGCCTGTCACCATTCCTCACGCCACCACTGTCAATACCTCTGTTTTGGGCTACCACATTCCCAAGCACACGGTGGTTTTTGTTAACCAGTGGTCCGTGAATCATGACCCAGTGAAGTGGCCCAACCCGGAGGACTTCGATCCCACCCGCTTCCTGGACCAGGACGGCTTCATCAACAAGGACCTGACCAGCAGCGTGATGATTTTTTCGGTGGGCAAACGGCGCTGCATTGGGGAAGAGCTCGCCAAGATGCAGCTGTTTCTCTTCATCTCCATCCTGGCTCACCAGTGCAATTTCAAGGCCAATCCAGATGAGCCCTCAAAAATGGATTTTAATTACGGCCTGAGCATTAAACCCAAGTCATTTAAAATCAACGTGACTCTCAGAGAGTCCATGGAGCTCTTCGACAGGGCTGTGCAAACGTTACAGGCCGAGCAAGACCGCCAGTGAGAAGCCAGAGCAAGCTGGGATTTTAGAAGTACTCAAGTTTTGGGGGGATGAGGAGTAAAATTGTTCAGCTCCTCTGTACCACGTTGTCAGTTAGCCTCTAAAGTGAGCCCAGGTCAGCACTGGGCTGTGCAGGAGCTCCGGGAAGATTGTTTTCAGTCACAGAGTTAAAAGGCCCAAAGAATTTTTAGACATAACTTCGAATGCTGGTAATAATTTCTCGAGGGAGCATTCTTTGGAGATAAAACACACCTGCGCACACACACAGAACTACCTGATGAAGAGGTACTTCCAAAGCCATGCCTTTGTGGGTGGGATCCGAGGTTGATGTTCTGTGCGGTGAACATCAGTAGAAAATGATTTTAAGCCAGGTTTCAGAATATGTTGTTCAATATGCAAAGGCAAATAATTTCCGTGTAAGGCATGTGATTGAGGATGAGAGGGAAAAGATTCAGACCAGAAATTTTTCTTCTTACCTTATCAATACAATAGCTTAGTTAGGCTGTGGTATCTGTGGATGGATTTATCTTTGGCTTATTGATGTACTTTCTCTTTTTTTGGATGACTCATAAGATCATTTGCTGAAAAGGAAATTAATAATAGTTGCTTTAGTAATTATAGTGGGTTTCACTGATTTATCATGAATTTCAAAGTATAAGCTGTTAAATTGTAAAATATTGCAAGCTGTGTTGGTTACCAAAGTACAGAATTTCAATTATGAGCAATAATCCCCCCCACAAAACAAGATTTACCAGCCCAGCTAAGCTTTAAATGATGTGCTTGCAATGCACAGATTTCAATAATACGCATATGTTAAAAAGATCACCAAATAGTATTCAATATGTATATACATATAGTTACTCATAAGTAATATGTATTAGTTATTTTATTATTAAATAGTTAGTGTTAATTATTTTGGTCAAGAAAAGGTGGAATAATGTATGTCTTTTATAATGTCATAACAAATTGAAAAGTACAACCAACTCAACTAATTTTGGCTGAAATGAATTAGATAAAATCAACTACCTATTTTTGGTATGGAAATCAAGTTGAAGCAGAGTCTTGTCTTTCATCCAAAACTCGAATGACAACTGAAAAATTTAAAAATTGGGTCTGTAAGATGCCTTATTACTTTACAATGTACTTATTAAAATTATCTTCATAATACAGAATCTCTTTTGAAAATTGATCAAGTTAATATGTTATGATTCCAAACTCTTGGCATGCTTAAATGTTAATTTAATTTTAAAGACATTGTGATTATTGAATTCCAGTTGAAGTTACTGAAAATCTGACCATTAACCATTGGAAGGCAGAGAAATTTTACTTGTGTTTCCTGATGAATAGTGAACAATGCAACAAATCATCTGAATGTTCTCTTTATTAGGAAACAAGAGGCAAATTTTCCATTATAACAAACCTAGTTTTTCTTTTAAATGATTATTGTAAAAAATAGCATTAATGTCAGTGTTTTGCAAAGTCCGAATCAGAAGGTAGTCTTGAGAGGCTGTTTTGAGGATTGCATCGTGTATCACTGAAACTGATCAGATCGATTGTGCTGTTTTAAGATGGGCAACCCAGTGAGCTGTTGCTTTGGTAACTGTGAAAACATAAAGCTTGAGCAAAATGTATACATTTAGTTTATGCAAATGATCTGAAAACCTTAAAAAAAAAAAGGGATGGGCGATTGCAGGAGTACAAAGTGAAGTTTGAATGTTTAACTTTCATTGCATGTAAACGTCCAAAGGAAGTTGTGCAGTAAATTGTGCAGTATCTGAAAAGCTTACAGCTTTTTACATTTTATTAAGCTTTTGGAATCTTATCAAAATTATAAAGGAAGGAGTGTATCATGGTTGTGTGGGAGGTGAAAAGAGAAAAGGAGGAAAAAGTGAAAAGGAAGAAAGATGGTTAAATATTTCCCCACTCATTCCAAATTAATTAATTTGAAATATTAATATTTACAAAAACGATGTTTCGTGTGCTGGTATTAAATCCCAAATAGAGTTTTAAAAAATCCACAACATATTAGATCTATTATGTAATTTGAAAAAAAAGTTAATCCTTACCCAAGACATGTTTTTATTGATTTTTTTTTTTTTTTACTAGAACTAGGGAGAGAGAGAGAGAGAAACATCAACCAGTTGCCTCCTGTATACTCCCCAACTGGTACTGAACCCGAAACCTAGATATGTGCTGTTACCAGGAATCGAACCCGAAAACTTTTGGTGTATGGGACAATGCTCCAACCAACCGAGCCACCTGGCCAGGGCTATAATTTGACATTTTTATTAGTAAAAAATTTCACATAATTTTAATTATAAAATCTCATAACTGTACCTCTTGAATATGAAAAACTGTTTGCACCAGCATTTTTAAAGGCACGAAAGTAACATACTACAGAAATGAGGCTTGCCAACACATTTAAATTTTTTGGCACTGGCAATTCCAAAATATGATTACCCCTCCTCCCATCTCTCCAAGCAGGGCTGAGACGGTGACTTTGGGCTGCCTTAGCCTACTTATTCTGAGAGATGTGTGGCAGCAAAGTAATCATGTACCAATCTAGATGCCTCATTAAGTCAACCAGATCCAGATGTGCTACAATCTGTTTTGATGTAGTTCTGATGTATGTGGGCTCAGCTAATCTGGCGCTTTCAGCAATGGGGAAGCTATGCTTATGTAGAAGAAAGCAAGGTGGGCGCTGGGAGGTTAGCTGGTTTAATTGATATGTTTATGACCTAGTTAAAGGAAGGAAAACAAAACCAAAAGCAAATAAATATAACCAAATTTGTGTGCTGCAGTAATCACGTTACTGGCCAATAAGAAAATCTCATTTTATTTCTGCCAGAGGAAAAATGCATTTGCTGGTCACCATTATAGTCAGAACATCTACTCCAGGTTATTACAATAAACTATATTGTTTATTAAATGCTTCACTTGTATATTAAAGCTTTGACTTTGTAAGAAAAAAAATTGCTTTTTTCCAAAACAGAAAGATGATGTCTCAGGTTTGTTTTGTGGGTTACCTAAAAGCCTTCATGTCTCAGAACTTAGCCTTTACCTGTGAAATGCTATTATAGCCTTCATATTTCCATTTTAGATCTATATTAGATCAAATAGTTGCATAGCATTATATTTTAATTTGTGTGTTTTTAGCTATGACAGAAATGTGTGATAAAAAGCTATACTTTGTTAGATGTTTATAACTCAAAGGTAACTTTTTATTTAACCTTTTCTTATTTTGTATTTTATCACGTACGCTTTTAATCTGCACATAGTGACTATAATGCATAGTTGTACCTGAAATAGATTTTGGGGACACAGCATTAATATGTAGCTTTTACTGTTTGATATGCCAAATTTAAAATTCTGTAATTACCTATATACTAGGACACCATTACTGAAATAATAAAAATCACTTTCATAATCTTGTTAAGAAATTTTACTTTATGTTGTAGCAAACTATTTTTTAAGTGCTTGAATTAAAATGTTTTATTGTAAACATTTGATTTGGTCAGTCTACATTTTAGGGTGCCTTTTTTCCTTTTTTAAATTAGCTTTTAGCATTCAGTTTCCTACCAAATTCCTGACCTCCCTATTTCTGAATTTCTGAGAACCAAAACAGATGTTAAATTTGAATGGCAAACAACAAAATTTGGATGTCAAAATTAATAGGAATTAATTTTTAATTTTGAAAGATTTCTGCTTCATCTAAAAAATGCAGGTCATATATTTCTTTCCTTTCAACATCACATCAATCTTTTTCTTTTGTTTTTTACATGTTTTTAATTTGGTTGATACACATTCATTTGTTCATTCATTTTTAAATTATATATTTTATTAATCCTCACCCAAGGATAATTTTCCATTGATTTTTTTTTTTTTTTTTTTAGATAGAGTAGGAGGGAGGGGTTGAGAAAGAGAGAGAGAGAAAAACTTCAATGTGAGAGAGACATCGATTAGTTGTGTCCCACACGACCCTGACTGGGGCTGGAGATCGAACCTGCAACTGAAGTACGTGCCCTTGACTGGAATCAAACCCTCGACCCTTTGGTCTGAGGGCCAATGCTCTAATCACTGATCCAAACCAACCAGGGTAGTTCATTCATTTTTTTAAGGTACATGTATCTTAATTAATGAGTGCAATTAGAGTCTAATAAAATAGAATGGATGAGAATATTCTGTAATACACTGTATGGAAATATTTTTCTGCCGACTTACTTACCCGGTGAAAGACTTGGCTTTAGAGGGCCCCTCTTTGACTCTCCACGCCTTCACTGCCCCACCTCCCAGATGGCAGCACCGGGCAGTGCCAAAGGTCCTTATTTCTTCCAGACTTTAGCTCCTGTTAGTGTGAAAACAAAAGAAATTGTGAAGTAAAACTGCGCACCATGTTATTGATACACTGGCTTGAGAACATGACTTTAGCAGCCAAAGGTATGGCTATGAATTGGTTTAACAGAGTTCTCATTTGTTTTCCAGATGTACTAACATAGGACCTTGGAAATGCTCATAAAGTTTCAGAACAACTGAAGTAAATATTTTCTAAGGAAAAAATTTCTTTAACAAAATCATAATTGGGGTCAGGTGTTCTAAAAAATGTCAAGTAGCATTGGATTCTGCCCAATCGATGCAGTAGGCGAGCAGACCAGAGCATGGGGTGGAGAATGAATATCTCTTGGGACATAAGACAGGCCTGGTTGTTGCACACTCATCAAGGTCAGTTTGATAACCTTGAAGCCAGTCAATCTGTCTGCATGTGGGCTACAGAAGTTTTGGCTGTTAACTCTCCCTTATTTTGACTCAATAACTCACATGCTCTGCTCTCCAGTTTTGAACTATGAGTTATTCTTAGGGGAAGAAAGTCAATTAATACGTTCAAATACATTCAGAAGCAATTACTTTTAATGCAAAAGATTAGAGGAAAATAATCTAGTTTAAAAAGCTATGGGCAAGCTATAGGCAAACAACAGCTTGTGCCTGTGGCTCCTTCATTCACTCACACACAGGTCATGTGGACACTTTTCAGAATGTGGCAGGTATGAGGGATGAAATAGAACTAAAATATGTTGAGCACTTATGCACCAGTCACCATGCTCATCACTTGAACACGTATGACACAACAGTCCTGTGAAGGGCTGGTTTAAAAGTGCCAGTGTCTGGGTTTTCCCTAGAGATGAACTGACTCCAACGCTGTTCCTGCTATATAGCTAGTCACTCCCCAACCTGCCCATGTTTGGGTATACAGTCTAGTTATTCTATATTTTAATCCCTGAGATTCTTGGAGTTTCACAAGCAATGTACCTCCTTTGTCCAGGGCACATACCACAGTCAGGGACTAAGTGACATTGGGAAGTGCCAGAAAGATTCACAACACTCCTCTTTCCTCAGAAGAGTATCATCAAGTTGTTTCTTTCTTTCTTTCTTTTTTTTTTTAAATCCTCATCCGAGGACATTTTTCCATTTTTTGTTCAGACAGAGTGGGAGGGAGAGAGAGGAAGAGAGAGAGAGGGAAACATCGATGTGAAAGGGACACATCGAGTGGTCGCCACCCGCACGACCAACCAGGGCCGGGGACAAACTGCAACCGAGGTACGCGCCCTTAGCGGGAACCGAACCCGGGTCTCTCCGGACCGCAGGCGGACGCTCTAACCGCTGAGCCAAACCGGCCAGGGCAAGTTGTTTCTTATGTAAAAAGAAACAACAACAACAACAACAACACAAAAGGTCATACTTTATCTTACAATTCCAAAACCTTTGTCCTATAATCCATCGCGCCAGGGATCCTTGCCTGAGCAAAAGGCCTTTCTTCCATAGGTTGGCCCAGTTGCCTGTGAAGTGGCCTGACTCAGGAACTCG